CTGTCCCCTGCCTGATGGCCAGTTTGTCACATGCCTGATGAAGGGGTCCTGCGAAAACGTTGCCTTGCTGTAACTATGTGATTGTTCATTAGAAGTTTTGGACCCATATTGGTGATCCTCGGTGTGCTGGTGACATTTTCCCTTGCTGATTCTGCTCAGTTCCAGCGGAAGGTCGCCTCAGCACCCACTTATACACAGCCATTTTTATCACAGGAACGTGTGCATTTGGATTGTACACTTACACTCTTAACAGTCTGTCCCCTGTTGCTACCAATCCAGACTTGAGGTTTTGCTCCAGTCTGCCCCTCACTGCAGTTTTTCACCTTTTTTTAAAAGGTAAAAGTAGTTCTATTGATGGGCATATAAAGCCAATCCCTTTAATGTAGCTCCTTCCTATTACCCAGCATTAACCACTTGCCTACCGGGCACTTTACCCCCTTCGTGCCCAGACCAATTTTCAGCTTTCAGCGCTCTCATACTTTGAATGACAATTGCGCTGTCATGTAACACTGGACCCAAACTAAATTTTTATAATTTTTTTTGAGACAAATAGAGCTTTCTTTTGGTGGTATTTGATCACCACTGGGGTTTTTATTTTTTACTTAAACTAAAAAAGACCAAAAATGGACAAAAAAAGTTTCTTAGTTTCTGTTATAAAGTTTTGTAAATAAGTAATTTTTCTCCTTCAGTAATGTGCACTGCTTGGCTGAACTGATGGGCACTGATGCAGAGTCACTGATGGGCACTGATGAGGCTGCATGATGGGCACTGTTAGGCAGCACTGATTAACTGATGGGCACTGATTGCCAGCACAGATGGGCACTATTGGCCGCACTGATGGGGCTACACTGATCACCAGGACACTGATGATCAGTGTAGATGTTCCCCTGCGAAATGCCGCTTACCGGCTCTCCTCTCTTTCATGCACTGTCAGTGTGAGGAGAGGACTGCCGATAACCGGCATTTCCTATTTACCCAGTGATCAGCTGTGATTGGACACAGCTGGTCACATGGTAAAAGCAGCTGTGATTGGCCCATTCTGTAGTCAGCTGTGTCAGAAGAACTACCCGGCAGCGCTGTAGCCATCTTTTGGCTATAGCGCGGTCGGGATCTGGTTAAAAGAGAACTTTGGGATTCTTAAAAAAATAATAGAATATATATACATATACACACACACATATGGGCTCTCTACTGGAATAATCAGAGATGGTGGGGTGCATGTGCAGAAGGTACACTAACTGCACAGGAGGATATCGTAGAAGAGGCTGTACAGCGTTAGGTGAAGATCACAGTGGAATGGGGTTACAGGAACACTTAGCAGCGAGTCAGTACAGATCTGCACTTTAATGAATGGCCACAGATGTAAGATCTATCATAAAAAAACAGGAAATAAAAGATCTGTTGTCCTCAATCGATCTCTGACAGGACCTCCTGTGAACTTTCCCCAACTCACTGAATGTGAATGGATGTAGTACATGTGCAGTAAACGATTACCGTATTTTTCGCTCCATAAGACGCACCTAGGTTTTAGAGGCAGAAAAACAGGAAAAAAAAAAATATTCTGAACTAATGGACTGCAGACATAGTACAGGAGATGACCAGAGACTGCGGACACAGTACAGGAGATGACCAGAGACTGCAGACATAGTACAGGAGATAACCAGAGACTGCGGACATAGTACAGGAGATGACCAGAGACTGCGGATATAGTACAGGAGATGACCGGAGACTGCGGACACAGTACAGGGATGACCAGAGACTGCGGACACAGTACTGGGATGACCAGAGACTGCGGACACAGTATAGGGATGACCAGAGACTGCGGACACAGTACAGGGATGACCAGAGACTGCGGACAGCACAGGGATGACCAGAGACTGCGGACAGCACAGGGATGACCAGAGACTGCGGACAGCACAGGGATGACCAGAGACTGCGGACAGCACAGGGATGACCAGAGACTGCGGACAGCACAGGGATGACCAGAGACTGCGGACAGCACAGGGATGACCAGAGACTGCGGACAGCACAGGGATGACCAGAGACTGCGGACAGCACAGGGATGACCAGAGACTGCGGACAGCACAGGGATGACCAGAGACTGCGGACAGCACAGGGATGACCAGAGACTGCGGACAGCACAGGGATGACCAGAGACTGCGGACAGCACAGGGATGACCAGAGACTGCGGACAGCACAGGGATGACCAGAGACTGCGGACAGCACAGGGATGACCAGAGACTGCGGACAGCACAGGGATGACTGCTGACCTTTGGGGGGGGGGGGGGGAGCGGGTACCTGAATTTGACAGATACCCGCTCCCACTTCCGCGGAGTTGTTCTTTCATCTTACCTGTTCCTCTATCCAGCCGCGCGCTGTCTTCCCGGCTTCTGTAATGGCGCTCGGCATGACAGCCGGGTGCCCAGTGCGCATGAGCGAGAAGCACTTGCGCTTTGTGATTGGTCTGGCGGCTTCTGGGATCTGTCATGTGTCCCAGGTGCCGCCTTACCATTCACAAAAAGCACTGCTTCTTGCGCATGCGCACTTGGCACCCGGCTGTCATGCCCACACTACAGAAGCCGGGAAGACCGCGCCGCTGGATAGAGGAACGGGTAAGATGAAAGAACAACTCCACGGAAGTGGGAGCGGGTACCTGTCAAATTCAGGTACCCGCTCCCCCTCCCTCCCCAAAGGTCAGCAGTCATCTCTATAAGGTCTCGCTGTAGAGCTGAGCGGCCGGCCCGGCATTCTGACACGGCGGCAGTGGAAATACCGGACCGGCCGCTCCATATTCGCTCCATAAGACGCACTGACATTTTCCCCCCTTTTTTGGGGGGAAAAAAGTGCGTCTTATGGAGCGAAAAATACGGTAGTTCCTATTCCTATGACATCTTGGAACATCTCTGTGAGAAATAACGAGTGAATCTGAACGAAAAGCTTGGTCCAGTTGTCTTGCGTGATGCCATTCTGTGTAAAACAGGTTGCTTATACTGGATTTGTAAGGCCGCCTTTAAAGCATTTGTATTGGCAAAATCCAAACCTCCTGCACTATAGAGCACGTCCCAAAATGTTTTTTACCTCGTTGTTAAGCTATAGAACTTCTGCAGGACAACTCCAGGGAGCTTAGTTCCTACTGATGTAGGCTCGCCCTCAGAACTACACCTCCCAAGAGCCCCTTCCTTATAGGCAGGCACCTGGCAGTCAAGCCAGTATCACTGTTTTGCGGCAAAAAGACATTGAGGTTATCATGTGCCAAGGAAAAGAGTGGGGTGAGGGATAGGTGGAGTTATGTAGACCAGCCAAGGCTGACAACAGTGCTTGGAATTCTTGTGCAGCAGAGGAAGTATTGTCATCCAACAATAGGAGGCAAAGAGTTTACTGGACTTCTGGCAGGTGACCAGGTAATATCTATTTCTGCTGAGTTTTTAAAGGGATGAAACATGCAGGTTTTTAAAAAATTTTTAGACATACACTCTAAAGCAAACATATATAAAAAAATTATATCAATAGTGAAGTCCATCATGGTTAATAGACAACAAAAGTTCAGAAATCTCAAAAAAATATTTTGTGCAAAAAAATTTTTTTTTTTTTCATCTTCTTCTAATGTAAAGAAAAAAACTTCCACCTTCCACCTGTGCAAACCAACATCAAATGCACTCACCAGATTTAGGTGAATGAAACGCCTTTTAGGAATTTATATGGGATCCATTAAACCCTCTTTCATATCCACTCTATAGGAATCCTCACCTTCAGTGTAGGCTCCACCATACAACCGGGGAGAGAAAAATCTCAGATAGTGTAATATTGCAAAATACCATTTATGAATAAAATCGAGGATTAAGGCCACTCACATTTAAATCACTTTAAAAAGGCATATTTATTAGGACAAGCTTCTTCCAGATGGACAATGAATGTAAGACAACCTCCCATGGAATCTCACATCACAGCTCCAGGATACAGCAGAAGTTCCACAGAGACCAAACATACACAGATCCCAAAAGATGGCCGCTGGAACGCACCGCTCAGCGTGCGCTCCACTCACCGGAAGTGACGTCAGACGTACGGGGTAACAACCGGAAATGCGTCAACGCGTTTCGCCCCTCCCATCGGGCGTTCTCAAGACCGAGACTGAGAACGGGATATGGGTATCAGGCATCATGTCATGACGTCAACATGACAACATGACGGAAAAAGCTTAGTCACCCGCCTTAAGGCTCTTGTTTGCCTTGACTTGTGCCAGGGTAAAGCATGGGTGCAGGGGGACCTCAGCCATCTAGCAACAAGGTGACAAGCACTCACAGACTTTTTCCATTTTTCAGATCGACAAAAAAAAAAAAAAGCTCAAAAGCCTGTAAAAGCAGCATTTTTTAGCTCCAATGTGCATGAGGCCTAAGGGTTCCAGCACATTGGGATTAAAAAAACGTTGCTTCTACAGGAGTTTTGTGTTTGCCTGTAGAAGCAGCTCAAAGTTATCCTATGTGTCCATTCACATTGGGATATTTAGGGGCATATTTTATACTCGGTGTTTAGCATTTTTATCTGCCAGAAAACATTTTTTCTGCCTCTAAAACACTTTTTTTTTTCTTCAGCCAGTAGAAGCAGCTCAATGTTCTTCTATAAGTCCAGGTACATTAGGGCTTTTAGAGGCATATTTCATGCAGAGAGTTAAGAGGCACAAGAAAACCCCCATGACAAGAGCGTTTTTGAGAGGAATATTCAGGCAGAAAAAAAAAAAAAAGTCAGTCGGTGTTTTCAAGTGTACATTGAAAAAAAAAAAAAAAAGGGAGGAATGTTTTGGGGAAAAAAGCCTTGAAAAGCAAATGCCCATAAACTCTTATAAACTGTTGTGCAATACCAGCTGCTATGAGCATTTTTCTGCCAGAGGTTTTGGCATTTTTTTCTGCTCCTAGTGTGCATGATACCTAAATCTCTCCATGGCTTCAGGAAATTGTACATGTACTTTCATCTGATAAGCCTTTTACACAAAATAAACCACTTACAGTGTTCAAAGATGCTGAGCGCCCGCAAAAAATTCAGTTTCTGCAAAACAGACAGCAGCTCTCCCACTCTGCCATTCCTGTGCATCCAGTTCCACATGACCGCTTCTGTTCGGTTGCGCTGGTGTCCCTGCTTTTCCAGGAGGCGAAGAGCCGTCTGGTCAACTATGATCATGGAAGCTGAAAAAAATAGATGAAATACCTCAACATCTAGAAAGCCATGCTTTATACCAGAGATTCTTATTATAGGTACTACTTGTGACGGACGACGGGTGTCAGACCCCCAGCCCTTCTTACCAACTTATGACCAAAGGACTAGCCAATCTAAAACCACGCTGTCACGTGCGTAACAATGCCACGCTCAGCTGCACCCTGCACAAAGATTTTCCAGCTAATGGACCACAATCTATGTGCCGCAGCCTGAGAGCGATTGTTACTGGGTCAGGTTAATCACGCAATTAACCCTTCACACTGCCACCACCATCTTTTTGTACAGAGTAGGAGGAAACTCACCAATATTAACAATAACACTATGATGTTTGAATAAGCGTCTGTATACACACTGTCACTGCAGGCAGATGTATACAGAAGTTTAAAACACACAGTAGCGCTTGTCAGAGATAGGATTCTTAGTTTGCATTACAGAGCTTTAGAAACAGTTCAACACTTTTCCGATAATAGATGTAGCCAATATATATATATATATATATATATATATATATATATACACACACACACAGAGAACAATACCACAACAGAGAGATAACAGAAAGAAGTTTAGAGAGGTAGAATACTTGCCAGAGTACTTGGTTTAAGCAGCTTCAAGGGTCCTGAGCAAAAGGGTGCCTTTTCTCCCAAAGTTGGTTCCTGATGTTAAAAGGGAGATCTCTTCAACTTACTGCTCCAAGCATAACAGCCTTTTTCTAGGAACCCAGCAGGGTGTCTCCTTAAAGCAGAGAACCAATCGCCTCATTTGGGGAGGGGTGTTTTAGGCAGGGAACTCAGGCTATGACCAAATCCCTCGCAGTTTATATCATGGTCAATAACCTTCCCTGGGTACATGTAGCAACCTAGTCACTAGTAGATTAATATGCAAAATGATATCCTGAACATCCAGACATCAAATATGCCATATTTTACTATTTCAGCTAGAACTATATGGCTTCCTACTCTCCTGTAGATTTTAACTAGGGGTGTAAGATATCAGACGACTCGCATTAAAATGACCACTCTGAATATATGTTATATATATAATGTTTTGCTTTATGGTATGTATTACGTAAGAGAAAAGTGTTTTCACATGGGATATATGTTTTACTGCTATCCTGGAATGCTTTTGAAGTTCAGTGACTGCCGGGTTTATGGCTTTACAATCAGCTTCAGAGAAAGAGTTTGCCAGACACCCTGGCATCAGCTAATTGGGTTTACAACCATGAAGGATATCCAACTGTGTCCTGTGCACTTCTGAACCCAGCACACAAGGACCACGTGTCACTCAACAGAGAGGCAGGGGGGAGCTGATTAGGAGTGAGAAATGATACAAGATGGAGGGTCTTTACCAAAATGGATGTTTGCGTCCATATTTGTACGTACAATTGCTACACTACTAGCACAATTTCATTCAGCCAACACAGAGCAAAGTGAAGCACAGAGGTTATGCAAGAATATAAAATGGCCGTCAGTAATTTATGGCAACCAATCACAGATCAGCTTTCATCTATGCAATGATATTAAAGGATTGTCCACCTTTTGAAAAAAAAAAAAATAATACATGCACTCATTAATGAAAGAATTTGTGTTTTTTTTTTTCTTTTTTGCACTGGCGCCTGAAAAGTATTGAAACCACAAAATAAATTAGCACGTTGCAGGTGCAATGTACAGGCCCCTGCAAACTATTCCCCCTATTCCTTCGGTTACGAGGCTAGAGGTAACCAGTGGACTTCAAGAGCATTGACATCATTACACTTATGCTGCACTGAGGTCCACGTTTTCCTCTGCTGCAGTGGCAGTAGGTGGCTGCTAAAGGTTGCAGCACATCACCTCCCTTGTTCTGGATGTACAACTGGCCAAAGGGCATAACCATCCATCACCACCCTAGAAGAAAGAATAAATCCTTTGCTTTTGGGATTTGTGATGGAAGGGAAGCATGAAGATAACTTTTGATTTCTCATTTATGGGTATGAGACTACACCTTCCCTTGTTTGCACAAAATACTGCAAAAAACCATTGCCATTACACATAACTTTGCTTATGAGCACTGTGGCTAAATGGTTAGCACTTCTGCCTGGCAGCACTAGGGTTGTCGGTTCAAATCCCAACTATGGCACCAACTGCCTGGAGTTTGCATGTTCTTTCTGTGCCTGTGTGGCATTCCCCCAGGTACTCAAGTTTCCTCCCACACTCCAAAGACATACTAGTAGTAGGTTAAATGGCTCCTGTCTAAATTGACCCCATTATGTGTGTGTGTGTGTGTGTATGTGTATATATATATATATATATGTGTGTGTGACCTTAGATTGTATGCTTCTTGAGAGTTAGAGACTGATCTGAATGTAACTAAATAAATAAACTTTAAAAATAAAACACACACACACACACACACACATATATATATATATATATACACACACCACACACACACACACACACACACACACACAGTATATATACACTATATTGCCAAAGGTATAGGGACGCCAGCCTTTACACGCACATGAACTTTAATGGCATCCAGTTTTAGTCTGTAGGGTCCAATACTGAGTTGGCCCCGCCCTTTGCAGCTATAACAGCTTCAACTCTTCTGGGAAGACCATTCACAAGGTTTAGGAGGGTGTCTATGGGAAGGTTTGACCATTCTTCCAGAAGCACATTTGTGAGGTCAGGCACTGATGTAGGATGAGAAGGCCTGGCTCGCAGTCTCCGCTCTAATTCATCCCAAAGGTGTTCTGTGGGGTTAAGGTCAGGACTCTGTGCAGGCCAGTCACGTTCCTCCACCCCAAACTCGTGCATCCATGTCTGTATGGACCTGGCTTTGTGCACTGGTGCTCAGTCATGTTGGAACAGGAAGGGGCCATCCCAAATTGTTCTCACAAAGTCGGGAGCATGAAATTGTCCAAAATGTCTTTGTATGTGGACTGCCAGACAGAGAAGCGTGATTCGTCACTCCAGAGAACACGTCTCTACTGCTCTAGAGTCCAGTGGCGGCGTGCTTTACACCACTGCATCCGACGCTTTGCATTGCACTTCACACCAAAAAAACCATACACACACACAACACACACACACACCACACAACAAACACCCAAAAAAAAACAAAAAACACCCCCAAAAAAAAAAAACCAAATCAGTGAAAATATGGAAAACTGTGATAAAAATGTGGTCAAACAAGTACCCAAAAAAAAAAATCAGTTTCAAAAAAAACAAAAAAAAATGAAAAACAACAGGTGCAAAATTAAAAAAAACAAAAAAAACCCCCCAAAAAAAACAAAAACAACCCCCACTGACAAAAAAAAAAAACCACAAAAAAAAACAAAAAAAAAAACAAAAAACAAAAACTAACCCAAAAAACAAAAAAAACAAAACACAAAAACCCAAAAAAAACCCTAAAAACAGAAAACAACACAAACCCCAAAAAAAAAAAAAAAACCCCAACACAAAATACCCCCCCCAAAAACCACCAAAAAAAAAAAGCACAACCTCAAAAAGCAAAAAAAAAAAAAAAAAAACAAAAAAATTACTCTAAAAGCTGGACAGGGCCGTAAAAGGTCCTTACCCCATCAGCAAACCGTTATCTGCTCCCCCCCCCAAGGAGGAACAAAGCACTGCCAGAAAAACAAAAACCACCCAGCAGGCCACTGGGGTGAATTTCCCTGAAAAAACAATAAGAAACAACCTCATGAGGGTAGCCAAAAAAAAAAAAACGCTCACTCCCCCCCCCCCCCCAAAAAAAAAAACGAGCCACCTGCCCCCCCAAAAAAAAACTACAAAAAAAAAAAAAAATGGGGTTGCAAAACAAAAAAACACACGTAAATTTAAAAAAAAAAAAAAAAAAAAACAAAAAACCCCCCCAAAAAAACCCAACAAACCAAATGCACGCAAACCCCCAACCCCCCAAAAAAACAAGAGCTCATTTACAAAAAACCCCCCCAAAACCCAACACCCAGTTTATCTCCCTAAAAACCCAAAAAACCAAAAAGTCCCCCCCCCCCAAAAATCTCAAAAAAAACCTAAAAAAAACAACACTTATTCAAAAAAAACCACTTTGGTAACAAAATTACCCAAAAAAAAAAAAAAAAAAACGAAAAAACCCCCAACCCCTACAAAACAAAAAAAAACCAATAAAACCCAAAAAAAAAAAAAAAAAAAAAACCCAAAAATTGCCAACCCCTACACTGGTGCAACCCTAGGTTCCCCCTCCCCACAACAAAAAAAACCCTCATGTCCACACCGGCAGTTCAAAAAAAAAAAAAAAAAACCATCGAAAAAAAACCCCCCCCAAAAAAAAAAAAAAAAAAACCCCAAAACAAATAAAAAAAAAACAAAAAAAAAAAAAAACCAAAAAGAAAAACCCAGGTTCACCTCTAAAAAAAAAAAATTCAAACCCCCCCAAAAAAAATCTCCAAACCATACCCCAGGACACCACCAAAAAAAATTAACCAAAAAAAACCCCCCAACCCCAACAAACCAAACAACCACACCCCCCAAAAAAAAAACCCCCCAAAAAAAAACAAAAAAACCCCAAACCAACCCCCAAAAAAAAAAACAATACTAAAAAACAAAAAAATTTTAACAAAACTTTGAATTCAGTCCTCTGTAAAAAATAAAAATTAAAACCCAAAAAAAAAAAAAAAACTGTGTGTGTCTCTGTTCCCCACAAAAAAAAAAGTCCCCACAAAAAAAAAAAAAAATCAAAAAAAAAAAGTTCAGAGCATACAAAAAAAAAACCAACAATAAAGGTGACAGCAAAAAACCCTAAAAAACAAAAAACAAACAAAAAAATAAAAAAAAACAAAAAAAACCTAAAAAAAATACTGTCAAAAACTACAGGAAAAACAAAAAAGCAAAAAAAAAAAGAAAAGGCTGTTGCTTAAAGGGTAAAAAACAAAAAAAAAAAAAAAATAAAAAAAAAAAAAAAACAAAAAAAAAAACAAGTGCTAAAACACCCCCAAATTGTAACTACAAAAAA